ACATCGCATTTTAAATAGCAAATGAGCAACAACAATGGAAAAATAACAAACTATTTATTTGGCGCTCCGTTGTATTATTATTTTATTTTATTTTAGTTAACGGAAGCAATTGTATACACCTGAAACCATCATGTGCTGTATGCCGTGCGAACTATGTGATGCGCGTACGCACTAATCGAAAAGGTTTCAATGAGTGGCTTCAGCATCAAAGTATTTCAAACATCGAAACATCTGTTTACACACACCCACGATGAAACGAAATGGTGTATTTTTCGCTCTTTTTTTTAATTTTCGGAGCACTTTACGACTCATATATACTCATAAATATATTCATACACTGAGTTTTTGACGGTCAAATTCAAAAAGCCATATGACTTTCCATAATAATTATTGTGCAACGTATTGCCTTTCTTCCAAATCACCATCGTTCACACCGAAAGTGATGCGAAAATGTTTTAATTACATTATGCACTTTTCGCATGAGCGAAAATCATGTACGTGTATATCATATCGAGCGTGCAGCAGTGAAATGGGCCATTTAGAATTGGTTCAATTGGGTTTTGACATATGAAAACCGATTTAGAATTTAATAATGAAAATGCGCTCTTGAGGAAATTACATATTTGCCGCAATTTTGTGGCCCGCAAACGAAATTGAACATTCGAGGTCAATTCAAATTTGGACAATTTTCCAATATAAGAATAATATATACCGTAATAAGCGCATTGCTGCGCTCAAGTATGCGATATATTGTATATCGTTTTCAAAGAACACCGCAAATTGCATCGATAGTATTTCCCTGTCTGCAGAGCCTTCTGAACTCTGTCCATTATTTATTATTCAAAGAAATATTCTAAAAAAAAAACGTATGTATGCACTGTTCACACTTGTGTGTTTTCTCATGAAATTTCGAAGTCATTGAATATTGTTAAACCCGTTCACACATTCGATGAAGTTGGTACCCTAAATGTCATTATAGTTCATTGTTGGCATATTACAACCCACCACATTTATTTATATGTGTGTGTACGCCCAATTTGAACAGTGGACTCAGATTCGCTGTTCTTTAAAATGTCAGTGATGCACTTTTGTTGTAGCTATTCTTGTTTCCAAATCGGTAGTTTATATAAATAGAAAGACCAAGTTTTTAGAAGACAATTGTTCACGTTTTAAATGAGTCGCAATTGACAAGAATTAAGTAGGTTATTGTCGTTGTAGATGTAAAAAGCATGAGATATGTTTTGAGGATATTCTACAGCGGTGGTTATGGTGATAATAATCAGTTCGTCACTCATAGTGCACGCTTTACATATATTGATGCGATTTTGATTGATATCGCTTTAATTGGCTTCCGTTTGCCATAATCTTGGCATACCAGTTGACCATGTGAGAATCAAGCCCGTCGATTGATCAAATCTACGACTGCTAGTGTCAAACGTAAGTGCACAACAGGGACAAGTCACATAATACTAAACGCATCCATTCTTAATGGGAACCTCATGTAATTTTTTTCGCGCGGAATTCGAAAACAATGAAAAAATGAATGGGTGCGTTTAATATTATGCAGCATACTAGCGATGGTTGGATCGAATTCGATATGGGAAAATCGTGTGTATGAACAACAAAACCCTCAAAACAAATAGAAAGAATTCGTGCATCGAACGATGTGTCGATTAGACTTGAGAAGGAGCTATATGTGGAACGTTTATTAAAACGTCGGTGCGATCTCATAAATCATGCACTTGATGACACGACACCAAACAATGGACGAATATGAGTTGAAAGCAAGTGAATAAAGTTTTTTTTTTCACTTCGTTTGTTTTCTGTAAGAAGAATTCAAAATTTAAACATGTTAATAATGTAGCAGGCGATCCGAGTCAAAGTTTGTGTGTTTGAATCTGCGCTTTTTTGCATTTTCAAATTCCGAAACGAACGAACAAACGCTATTATATGGTTTGTTCCGCGTATATTATGTGTGTGTGTGTGTTTGGGCTGTGCATTAATTTGGTTCCAGTAGAGTGAACGCTGAACTATGCCAAAATAAATTCTAATAGGCATAATAATATAGACGTTATTCACTTGGCACATCTGTGCTTACGTATGATATGGCCGAAAAGATGAAGATAAAATCCGAACGAGAAGCACACAAATGGGAAAGGAAATACAGCAAACAAAACACGTACAACACAATGTTGGAAGAGACGGACAGCGTCGCAGAAACAATAAAAACATCAAAACTCTACCAAACGGTGGAATGAATTCGAAAAAGAGATACACGCAAGAGACATATTCTTGCTGCTCAATGTTATAAAATGAACGCAAATGATGTAATGTACGCGGCTATGCACATTCACAATGAAAGCCATCAGTCAGTTCAAAGCGATTAGAGAAAAAAGTAGAAATAAGTATATAGCAAAAGAAAACGATGTGAGCGAGACAGGGAGATAGAGCGAGAAAAACACATCGTGAAACAAGAATGATTCGGAACAAAGGAATATTAAACTACTTGTTGAATTTATGTCAATCGTAAACACTATTGGCTTAAGCACCAGAAATGCGCGCGGTAACACACACACACACACACACATACACAATTCACGCAATTCAAAAGCGCATGCATTGGAATTCAACAAACTATACATCATTTACCAACTAATTGGCGGCAAATTTATAACATAGCAAAGCATCGAAAAAATAAACAGTTTTTCATTAAATTTTCTCATTTGTCATGTGTGTCATCATGCAAATACTGATTAACTCAAATGATAACATGAGAAAAAAAACCATGCGAAATGTAGAACTCTTACTTGCTGAATCATAAAAACCCTTTTTGAGCACTTTGAATCATTAAGCGGCAAATTATCTTTGGGCAATATTGAATGCAAGATATAAATCTTGCATTTTCACCAAAATTGATTAAGCAATCTTACTAGTAAAATAAAGCATCGAAAAAGTGAAATTCGTTGGATAAGCGCAATTCGCGTGTGAAACAATTCGATTGTTTGTCTTTTTTTTTGTTTTCACATCTATATGCTAAAGCATTGAGTGAAAATTTCACTCAAACTGGAATCGTATCATCACGAATTCAAATCCACTGTTAGAACAGAAAGGAAAATGAAACATCTATGAAATTTCAGTTTTAAAAAATTCATTGATTGTACAGAAAAAGTGAACCGGAACTCAAATCTTCGGCATATTGAAGTGCTTTGTTGTTGTTATTTCTGCACTAATGGCTAATTAATGGAAATCTATTGTGTTTTTCGCATGCAAACGTACACGAGCCGGATCCAGCACAAAAGTTAAGCATTTAACGATGAAGATACGCTGCGCATCATTCTTTAGTGAGCCTTCAAGTGTCATTGTCAAAAAAAAAAAATCTGGGTGTTTCCTTAAAAAATGGAATTCTTTGTTGTCTTGCCGAGTGTCTCAAATTAATCTGACCAAATTGGTGATTCGTTTCGGTGTACGAACTTTACGACGTCATTAAATGACATGAGATGTCCAAACATTATAATTGTGCATGGCTTTTACACACATCTCATCTGGCAATCTCTTGAAATCCATTGCGCAATTCAAAGATAAAATAGTTAAACTCCGAGACTAAATCGTGATCATTTGTCCAAATAATTGGTTAAACAATATGCGGAAATAAATAATTCTTCGAAATGGTCACTTGGTAATTGAAATCTTAATTGTAAAATGATTCACTCTTAAGTACTGCGCTAATTGATTATTCCTTCTTGGAACCCTGAAACGGCTTGGAAATATTTCCGAAGGAAGAAAAAAAGAAACACCAGGAACCTTTTTTTTTCGGTGAACAGTTCAAAAGCGCTATGATACAATAGTGTGACGACGGCGGTGTTGGCAAACGACATTGTGAACCTTACGGAATGAATGAGGTCATTCATAAACACAAATTCACGACCAAAAGTTCATATCTCGCGCACATTATCATTTGGCATTGAAAATTACATGCTCTTTTCATACAATATGAATATCGCCGGTTTTCCCATCCTAAAAATGGTCTTTACATTTTTTTTAATCTCCGGTTAGTAAGCTCGGTGTGGCCAGAGATATGTTTATTCATAGTTTTAATTGAACAATGGTACAATCGTACCGAACAAAAGAACCAGATGGACAATTAGAAAATTTGGTTTCAAGTCAACCAACTCGTAACAGTGTCTGAACTTCAAATGTTGAGTTTGTATTGACTTGCACCATTGAAATAACTCTTTGCTTTGATTAAATTATTTAATTAGCGACAAACATCACACCGATTTAATTGAAATAAAAAAAAAAACACTTATCGACGCAAATCATGTCTAGTTTTTCCGTTTGTTCTCTGTCTTAAGTTAAGTTTTTTATGGTTCATCTCCAGTTGCTGAAATTATGCCGTTTATTGATTGCAACTCAGATAATAACCAAGTTTTGGAAGGGCGATTTGCGTAACATTTGTTCCAAACGTGTAAACCTGAATTTTTATATGGACCAATAGCGATGACAAAGGATTTAACGCGATTCATAATGCATTTCAAAATGAACGAAACAATTTATGGCCTAATGTTCATAGGCACGCGTGCATGCATTGTCGATTTTGAAAATGAAAACATAAAGCAACTTCATGCGCACGTGATAATGAGATCTCTTTTGTGACAAAATGCGTTATTTAAGCGTGTGAATTATTCATTAACTCGTTTTAATGAGCATCAGAGAATGGCACGTGAAAACAATAACGAATCTATCTAAATGGCAAATGAAAACAACAGCTACCAGGTGTGATATCATTGCGGCACATCTTGCCGCACTAGAGTGAATGCCATCATTCTAAATGATATACCGGAAACCACAAGCTAGGATCATTTTTATAGTTGTCTATGGCATTAAATGTCATTAGAATTTATTGTCAAACAGCAACCAAAAGCCAAGATTCAATTTCTGTTTCTATTGTAAGAACCGCGATTTAACTGATTTAAAAAAATATATTTATTTATTGTACTTACGTCGCCGGCTCAATGTCGTGGATGGTCGATAGTCATATTTGTTGTTTTCGCCATTTACGTCACCACTGCCACTGATACCGCCGATGCCGCTCGTTGGTTTTTCTACATTTGAATATCCGAGTGGAGAAGAATAGATTTGGCACAAAAGCCAACCATTATGACAATGGTAAATTAGTAATTAGATACAACACACACACAGAGAGAGGGAGAAAGAGAGAGAGAGAGAGAGAGAGGGAGAGAGAGAGAGAGAGAGAGAAGTGCAAGAGGAGATGGATGAGGTGCGGGGTGGGGGTGAACAATTCAAACTTAACGAGTGACTAATGTGGATATACACAGGATTTGGATTTCGATGGATATGCATAAATTTAATGGTCACTTGAAAATGGAATTGATATGCTAAACCACACTTGAGAGAAGGAAAACGCTAATAAAACAATTGACAACATCAACCAAAGTTCCCAAGTTCAGTAATCGTAATTAGATTTGCTCATTGAGTTTGACGATGGCTAAAAACTGCAATTAAAATCAAAAAGACCCAACGTGACATGCATACAAAATGTGTATGGTTGCATTAAATTTTCATTCGAACACCGCCCATTCTGTCTCTCTCGCACGAGTGCGAGATACTTTCCGTGAAACCTAATCCAATTACTCACATTACTTGGGACTTTGTGAAGCGAATGTGTGTTTGTGTGGTGTGTGTGTGTGTGTGTGAGGCTAATGAAATTGGAGATGGGTGAGGAATGGACAAGATTTGATGGATTACACTTGAATTCTGTGGCGAATACGAACAAAAAATATGTGGTATGATAACTATGCAATTACTGATGCACAGATATTGGTGAATCAAATGACATGATGAATTGGATTTGTTTCTCAAAGATTGAGATCGATGACGACGGAATTCTTTTGCGAATAACAGCATTGCTCATCCAAAGTAATCGCTTTAATCGCTGTAATGTTTTTTGCGCAAATGGAATTTTTTCAAATGATAGAACTTTTAAATCAATTTTTTTTTTCTGTAATTGGCTTAGCGAAGCAAGTTCAATGAATCCGGTTATAATGCTGTTATTGTTTGAAATAACAGAACTTTGAAAAAAATGGTGTTTACTCTATCGCAATAAGAGCGAACATTACCATTGCCTCTAAATATTGGCTACGCTTGATATTACAGTATTTCGTGTGTTCATCATTGATGACCGAACAAAAAAACGCTGTCGACATTATATCAAAGTGCGGTGAACCGTCTCAAACTCAACTAGAAATGGCTCAATTAGTTCAGAACAGCTGATGGAATAAAGCCAAAATCATGAAGAGGGATCAGCGCGTCAAAGTTGGCAAATGAATTTTTAATAGCAAATAATGTGTCTAGTCAACAAAATTGACGGAATGATAAGTCAATTCATGATAAAATGTGAATTAGGTTTAAATGACATCGTCCCATTAAAACCTATTGGCGAGTTAGACGGCCCATTTACGTAGTCTGTCAAAAAATAAGCCTTTTAATTTGAGGTCCTCCAGTTTGATACTGAAATGAACCGATAATTCGATATGACTGCTTATTTTCGGTGGTGTTGTTGTGATTTGATGAAAAAGTCGAACGAAAAGAAAGTGTGGTCGCAATGAAGATGATAATGGCGACTTTTCGTTGCCGCGTAATATCTATATGTGATTGTTTGTCAACGTGAAATGAAACTATGCGAGCGATCAGCGACTACTTGATGTGGTCGATTTTTTTTTCTGGTGTTCAAATTCATCATACTCACTTTTTGCATTCGCATTCGTAAGGTAATCGTCTGGATTGAAATAAGTTCGAATGTGTGGAACAGAAGCTGGTGCTCGCGTTCCATTATATTTACCTTCTGGATATGAACCAGAACTATCCGGATATCTTCCGCCATTTTTGCGTCGATGCATCTCATCGGCATTGCTCCATCCGTTGCCCATGTATGTGGAAGCAGTGTTTGGTACGTGATGTCCTCCATATGTTGTCATCGATGGCGTTGTCCCGTAGTAATCTACGGTCGGTGTATAGCTAATCGTTGGAAACGTCTGTACACCACTACCACTGCCTCCGCTACCTGGTATTGCTGGGTAATTTGTTTCATAGATTGTTGGATAGGTATAAAAGGGGTACATTTCGTGATAAAAATTGTATTTGTGGTGGTATTGTGAAGGATAAGTAAATTCGTCTGGTTTGCTACTACTACCACTACTCCCACCGCTAATCATTGTAAAAATAGACGGTGGGTATGTCTGAGGTTTCACTTCATTTGTAGATAAGTCGGTATTTGTGTTGCTTCCGTACGTTGTTGATGTAGACGGAAAGCGATCCATTGTAGTTGTTATCATAGTTGATGGAATGCCAGGCCCCTTTGTACTATCAACTGTATTTGGATACATATTTGTTGTCGGAACCGAAGCACTGCTACTCGAAAATATCGACGGATTACTGGATGTTTGCTGATTTCCGGGCATTGTGGTACCCGATTCATCTGGCATCGATGGATTTGTGCCCATCGGATTTGTACTCATTGGATTCATCGATGACAAAGAGGTGAAATCTGTCATTGGCGATGTATCGCCTGCTGTTTGGACCGTTGGCACGCGATCACCACCACTAACATCATCATTTGCACTCGATGTCATTGTATTTGCATTTGCATTTGTTGCGCTTGTGCTCATTGTTATTACTGGCACCGCTGGACGATCACTTGACATTTCAGTTTGGATTGTTATCATCGTGGGCATTTCTACAAAGAAGAAGAATAACAACAACGACATATAATAATAAACACATAAAAATAGATTACTAAAGTATGTTATCGTGAAGTGAAGCGACCCATTTAAAAAAAAATAACAACTTGCCTTCTTCTTTTGGTGGCATTTCGTTGTTCTGAATGCGGCAATTTTCTTTGCGCTGATAAAGATTGTACTCGGGATCATAGATGGTACCGCGTGGTCTTCGGCCGGCATTCTCGGGAATACGGGTGCCGGACAGTTGACATGTGCCATTTCCACCGGCTATCGTGCTAATGCCAAGCGCAAAAGTTTGACATTTCGAACCCTCTGACATGCAAAGCTCTTTGCACACACGCACCGAATTCGTTTCACTCGTTCGAAACACTTTCGTTGGCGGTATCATCGCCTCCTTATATATTCGTGCAAAGCATTCGGCTGTGAGAGGAGAGAAGAAGAAAATAAAAACAAACATTATATATCAAATGTGGATGAGACAGGAATCGAATCAATCGATACGATCAATTTCATTTGATGATGATGATGACATAACATCGAAACGGGCGAGGCGTTGTGCAATTGCAATTGTCGCAAGACAAACCAATTACACATCATTTTCTATTCAAGCCCATGAAATGCATTGCATGACGAAATCTCATTCTCTCTCACTCATCAAGCAACTGCGGCGGTGGCAATCGCTTTTTAAAAAAAACACTCCACTAATCGTTCATTCTGACATACGACGATGTGATTTACTTGATGGGCTTGAAATGCGTCACGCGAAACACAAATTGATTTTCTTATCATCATAGCTGCGAACACAAAACATTAGCATCGTGAGACTCGCATACAAACATACGCACCGAGAGATTCAGAAAATATCTCAAAATTATTTATTCCGTTTGTTTCGCTTCCAGACAACAAAAACAAGCACTTTTCCTCTGCCAAAAGTGCAAGCAAGACAAATAAAAAAAATAATAATTTAAATATCAATATAAGCATTATTGACCCATGCGATTTGCATCACAATAAAAATGATAGCTTCTGTGTGAGTGTGAGCGAGCGAACCCGCCCGTGTTGTCGCAACTCTCTTGCAAAGCGCAAGAAAAACATATGCCTCTGAACGAAACGCCCAGATGAAGATGTGTTTACAAATCAAGTGTGTTTGAGTCGCTGAACGAGAGCACGAGAGCTAATATGTAATCACCCATAACAAAACAACGAAACAACGAGCATTAATGATAATTTTGCATTCTGATATCGGCTCATTTCATTTCGATTCAATCGCATTTTTTTCTCGTCCACATCAATTTCTGATTTTTTTTTGCCCGTTTGATAGGAGAGAGAGGCGCGAGTGAGAGGGTGAGAGAGCGTGATAGTGAGAGAGGGGGAGCAAGAGGGAGAAAAAAAAGGACCAACAGCAATAAACGCTGAACAAAGCAACAACAATATTGAGCTGCCTTCGAATGAGCCAGTGTGTAATACACAAGTTTTTTTTTGCCCATTACACTGACTATATTTATTTTGTCTTCAAATATAGCGTTTAAATATATTTCTGTTATCGGTGTTTTTTTCATGCCGGAAACTTCAATACAAAATATAATTCAAGTCAAAGACAACGATGAACAGAAAAAAATATTCGTTCAAAAGAAGAAACGAAACAAAAAACAAGATGGGCGCTTCGCTTCGCTCCGAGACAAACTCGCTCGCTTCGCGAGCTAAAAGAGATATTCCTTTTATATTATAATACAGTTTGTTTTCAACAAACTGAATTTTCAGCACTATACTCAAAATTTGAAGGAAATCGGCCAAAGCGTTCACGAGATATCATGTCTGAACATTCCAGAAAAACAAACCAATCTAATAGCTCTACATTTCATGTAGTCCTAAAAACAACAACAGTAACAACAACCGGGAAACGAGAAGTAATAAGAGTATGGAAACAAATGTGGAGACGAAAACGGACTGAAAATATACATTTGAAATAATGAGAAAAAAAAACACGTACAGGCCTCACTTACTTTATCAGAAGAAAATGTGACGGTTTGCAAATTGCGTCAACAGATATGCGCGCCGTGTCAATGTATTTGTTGTTGTCACTAGCGTAAATTCCGACAAAAATATTGTTTTTGTACAAAAACACAGTTTCATAATTCATTCAAACTTCACCAGTTGACATGAACGCTCGGTAAGTCAAAGAAATGCGTTCTCCCTGGGCACATAGCGACATTTAAATTTCTTCTATCCACGGTCAACATGCAGTGTGTACAAATGACGAACAAAATGAAAAAAAAAGTTTTTCATTTGGCATTTGTTCAATCGCAATGCAATGATCATAGGAGAAATTGAACAGATTTATTGGGCCGATGCTAAGCCATAGTTAATAATATTGCAAAAGAGAGAGGGAAATAACTGGTGACAATTTCGCAAGAAAAAAAACATATTTTCATTCTGCATTTTTTTTTTCCTTCGCACACACAGGCAATTTATGAAAGGACAAATTCAATGGCTATTGCTGTTTGTGGCTGTATGCTATGCTGGTCAACTTGAGGACGGTGAACGATTGCTGGTTGTGGTGCCAGAAAGTAGTCCAGCTGCATTTCAGTCACTGAAAACCCAGCACCCACAATATGTAACAAATCGAACGTGCAATGCACATCGTCTGTATGCATTGGACACGCATACACACTACGACCACTTTGCGAAGGAACGATGTGGACGCTATGTTAGTCACTTGATAATACGTCGCAGTGTTATCCGATATATTCCATCAAATTTCTTCATTCACAAAACCTCGTTCGAGTATTTGATCACATTGCGAATGGAGAATGTTTCGCTGAGAGCAATTTATCCGCATAATTTTGAGAATATTACACACTTGGAGGTGCTTCAAATGGCTCACAATCAAATCGAGCATGTATCAGCCGGCATTTTTCGTCATTTATCCGCTGTGCACACCGTTGATCTATCATACAATCAAATCGAATCCATTGACACTGACGCCTTTCGTGACTGCATCACATTGCAACACCTGCAACTCAACAACAATCGGCTAACAACGCTGGAGGCGGACTGGTTGCGCGGTTTAATTAATGTGAAATACTTAGATTTTAGCGATAATTTAATCGAAAGTGATTTTGATGGTGATATTTTGTACGGTGCCAGTGGAGTGAAATTGTTTTTGCGAAGCAATCGCATCAAACGGGTACTGAGTTTTGGCCGAAAATCCGATCGTGCCATATTCCGTTTGATCGATTTGTCTGGCAATACGCTGCGACCACCATATCCAATTATACCGCTAGGCAATGATAATATGAGTGTAATTTATTAAGAGTTTTGACAAAATCAATTCGACAGCAATTTTATTTAGCCAAAAACCAAAAACCAAAGAAAAAAAAACTCATCAAAATGAACAAACATTTTCAATGGGACCATACAGCCAATGTAAATACATTGATGTCAGCGTATGAACTTTCTTCTAAAACTTTACAAATGAAGCATGAGAATAAAGCGTGGCGCCACTATCGTTTCCAAATATATCATTGAAATCAATGGAATACATTAGAGTTCAAAAGCACGGCAACAGCTGGCGCCTCTACGAATCCCATACGCAACCCACTTCCCAAATGAGTCTAGATTGAACATTTTATTTTTATTGGTTTTAGTGTTATTTTTTTTTCGCATTTGCATAAGGTATTTTGAAAATAACGAACCTAGAGTAATAAGTATACAGTTTTATTATATATGCTTACCATCATTTGACGTATCGATGATGACTGTGTTGATATATGGCAAATTGGCACTGATCAAACCAATACTCAATAAAATCAAACTGAGCATTTTATTCGTTTTGTGTTCGTGTGTATTTTATTCAATGAGTAGTTGTGTGTTGTTTGAAGGGATTTGTTGCGCTTGTTTAGTTTCCAAAAGCGTCAATCCACTAAATAGTTCACGTAAAAAAACTTATCACTTGTTTACTCTATTCGTCTTTTTTGCACTAAATCACTTTCGAAAGGGTTTCATTACGAACACACAATTTTTAAATACTATATAAATTCCTCATACTCCTTACGAAAACGACGAAAATCAGGAGCACTTCATCGGCACGTTCGTGTATCTGTAGGATGTACAGACTATGGTTTACCACAATAATCCAACCGAAAACCAATTTCATCGAAAATTTTACATTCTTTCGACAGCGAATTCCTTGGTTTTCTCTATTCTGCACGCGCTCAATGTAAACGCTCCAACACTGCAAGAAGAAGAAAATAAAAATGAAAAGAAGATTTGGAGAAAACATTCTTTTACCGTCGTCATTTTTGAATGAATGTGATTCGATTTCAAGATTCTCTCTTCTCGAAAAAAGTCCACATATGAAACTGTTGATCTCTGTGTATTTTTGATACGTATTGTTTTTTTTGTCTTAACCTTTTCTGTTTGTTCTTTCGGCGACTTTCTCTTATTCTTTCATGGATAATTGTTTTATATAACCAGATTATCGTAGCAAATCCGTTATGTCTTTATTTTCGATGCTCTCTTTTTTTCGCGTGCGAATTCGCAAAACGAGGAACAAATCTCTTCGTGTGATTTTTTGGTGCGTGAACTTGACGTTGTTTTTATTGCGTTCTACTTTTTTTCCTGTAGGCTCTGTACTTTAATCGTAACAAAATAAAATGAAGGCAGAAGAGACAAAGGTAAAAAAAAGTTTGGTTTAGTTTTAAATGGCAGCGAATAAGAAATGTGTTCAAGTTTTGGATGTCGTTGATTTGGATAAAAAGATTAAGACATCAAACGTAAGGTTTTTGCACTCGCCAATTAGCATATAAAAAACGGCAGACTCATTTAACGATTTCTCCGCGCGCGCGCACACTTACACACACATACACACACTCATACATGAAACTGAACCGCGCAAAAGATGACATGTATCGCCTTATGAATATGCCATACACTTGACTGCGTGTTTTCTGATCACCTTCTCAGTGAAATGATGAATGAATATTCTAAACCAAATTTTAAAAAAAAATGGTTCGATTAAAACCAAAAAAAAATAGTACTCGAATCATGTTGGAATGGCAACAGTCTGACTGTGAATGATGTTCACTCACGGCGGAGTGTTTGATTATAAACGAAGAACATCCGAAAAACAAATACCTCGTAAAGCAGGTGAAAAAGAAGCGTCTGCAAAAATTTGAATTTGGGTCAAATGAGAAATTGATTAATGGCCATTTTTCGCAAATGAATGAAAGCGCAAACACGCACGACAATTTAGCATCGACAGAAAAAACAAGAATCAAACGCAGCAGCGGCAGCAACAGCATCGAATGGCCAACGGATTTATTTGAATTCACATGAAATGTGTTTGGTTTGCACATGTGTGTTGCTGTGCTTGCAATGGCTGATCACATCTGTGGAGAGATCATACATAAACGAACTGGCGTCATTTAATTTAAATTTTTATTGTTATTATATGCTCACTGAATCGCACATATAAAAAAACCGCCGAGATTAGAATCTCCATACTTTGATGCTACCGTGAATTCATGTTGGACAGCAAAAAATAAAGCACACACAAGCTGATCTCTCTCTCTCTCTCTCAGCAAAACGCCAAATGAAAATAAAATGTATAAAGTGATGTTCAAAGAGAAAGAGAGAGAGAGCGAGAGAGAGGGAGAGAGAGATGCTGATGACCATGAAAATTTTGCCTGATGTGAGCGATAAAACAATGGCCAGAATGAAAATAAACATTTTCTATGTGCTGTATATATTGCGAACGGAACAACCGCAGGCGATAAACTATGATTTAATCATTTAACGTACAATTCCCATTTGCGATAGACAAAACACACGTACACAACCCACAGAGTGTCAGAACAAAACGTTTTTAATGAATTTTTATGTACGTGCGTATTTATGTTTTTTTTTTTTTATTTCAACTTTTATTTGTGTTACTCTAAATATTTATTCGGCATTTTGCAATCGAAGCGATAGCAATCTGGTCGCATTCGCGCAACCTATGCATGAAAGTGTTATTTGTTATTGGAAAGTGAATAAATAGCTTAGAAGCCGGTGTCGATGACGATGATGATGGCAGTTTTGAGCATTGATGTCAATAAACATCAACTGTCGTACTGAACTCTGCAAAAAAAAAATCGTCCATTCAATGAATGACGACGATGACTGTTCAGGACAAAAACCCGAAAAAAACAATTAAAATCATGTGTAGAACTTTCGGAAATTGTGAAATAACTATTTATTTATATTTTTCCCTGGCACCATTTCAATTGTTTCTACACTGAACTCTATTTGAACATGGCGACACTATGAATGGCACATTTACAGCGCCGTTCTGTTCCAACGAAAACGTCGGAGGTCAATTAGTTTTAATGCATGCTTCCCAAATTACACCTTCTGATGATGACATGCAATTGGTCAGCCAATTTTAGCATTTTATTCGGTTTTTGTTTTCTTCCTTTCTCTGTGACCCAATTTTGATAATCACCAAGCAAACGGCTGCGTGATGACCACGATGATATTTCAACAAAACGCGCATAGGTTCTTTGAAAAGAACGGCGCTTCTCGTCAAATTGCAATAAACATGAATGGTTTATTGTGTGTGAGAGATTTCTTTGTGCTAGAAAACTAGCACCGCGCCACTTCTAATGTGAATGGATGTTTGCCAAAATTTATGATGCATTGTTATTCTAGCCATCTTTACCATTTGGTTTTGGCTTTCTTCAGTCATATTGCGTGAAAACAATACAAGATGAAATTCAAGCATTAGTGCATCTCTAACTTTATTGAGCATAAACAGAAAGCCGCCTCACAGATATGCACAAGTGTATTCCAAATGCGTCTTGGCACAAATGTGCACATATGCAAATGTACGATGAATTCGCATCGAAATATACTTACAAAAATTTCTGAACTGTGTTACTCTAACTCGTACACATGAAGTTATGAAAACGGTTTATTCGCCTGGCGGAAATGATTTGGTTGAAATTGTCAATGAATTTTCTCGTCGACAACTAAATTTTACTATATCTAAATAGTCAATCGAAATTAAAACAACACCGTATCTTTTGGATAAATTTTACAAATCACAAACACACAACACGAAGGGCAGTTATTGTTTTAACAATTTTGAACTAGGAGGCATTCGTGGCAATGTTATGCGAAATACTATCGATTAATTGTGAAAACATGTCGACAACATCTACACTGCAATTCAACACACGCTCTCATCACCGCTATAACATACAAGCGGATGATTTCAATCAGAAAAAAATCGTATAGCATTCAATTAATTGGTATTGATTAATTCGTATAATTGTGGTTTTTGTTGTCGTTGTTGTTATTGTTCCTTTTGCTGTTGTTATTTCCCTGCATTCCTCTCATTCAGAGTAAAAGTTTCACAAAAATGTTGAGAGTGCTGCACATTGATAGCAAATACACAAATAACACGCATTGTTTTGTACACCAATGAAATCACAGTCAGATAATTTATATACTAAAACATGATCGAGAAAAATTACACGAAAAAAAGAACAAAAGCGCGTGCGAACCCGATCGAATAATAAAAACTACTAAACAACATCCAATTGATTGTTTGTCTCTTGCAAAAATGTGTACGAGACACAAAAATACACAAATGAACGCGAGCCAGCGACGATGACAACAACAACGACGGTGTCGGCGGTGGTGTCAGAGGCAGTGTACAGCTGCTGCTGTCTCATCCAGAGAGCTCAAGTAGAAAAAGCACGGTGGATACAGAACGCAAAAAACGTATTAAACGCTATTAACATTAGCAGAGCACGAAAGAGCACGGCAGCACTAATTTTTGTTCGGTATCTCTGTTGTTGTCTCTCGATGATTATTATTGTATATTGTATATCAAACAATCATCTAAAAAGTACGCGAACCACGACAACACAGCCAACGACTACAACAACAACAGCAGCAGCAGCAGCAGCAACAGCAGGCGAAATGAACGCGCGAGAGCGCGAGACGAGCGCAGATGAGCACATAAAATATATTATTATCGTTGTATGTAAATTGAAATGGGTGCCATGTCCGTGCTGTTTGTGCGCGAGCACACCGTACCACGAATCTTCTGTACAAGAGATTGTGAACAACGGTGTAAAATGGCCATCTGAAAAATGATCGTCGACAGAGAGATCAACGGCGGCGGCGTCAGCAGTGAGTGCCCTGTTGAATGATGCCCATTGCTCAGTGTCGAATTGGCCACAGGTAGGATCATTTGAAATTTATGGCAGGTTTTAGCCATTTGACACTCAACTATATCTTTCTTTTGACGCATAGTCATGAAGCATGTTGCAGTGTGACGTGAAAAAAAAAACGACAACAAAAACACATTCGGCGTAACATTGAGCAGTATGAATCAGCGATTCCACTTTGGTGCGGACGGATGCTGTGTGTTTGCGGAGAGAATGGGAGAGAGTGTGAAAGAGCGAACGAAATTGTCATGTCGCCGAGAGAGAAAGAGCTCTACATGTTGAGCTATGATTTTGGCTGTGGAAATGAACGCGACCAAGTCATACGTATTGCCATCATGCGACAATTTTACGGTGTTTCAAGTTCAAAGCATTTCCCATTAATACCACTTGTGCCACTCCAAAGCGTACGAGAGATGGTTCTAGATGATGGGCAAACGACTATATCGACATAGTCAGCAGTTTTAATGAAGCCTTGGAATCAAATTTTTTGTTTTTCCTTTCTTGAATCAAACCATATGTTTGCATACGCAATCTGATCGACAAGAATCGGTGACGGTATCGACGACGACGACGGCGGCTGCTACTTCAATTCCATCACGGAAAACAGATACCAAAGAAGGTACCGATAACAACTTAATTGCTTATTTTCTATTTTGTTACGCTGCTTCTTCACATTGGCAACAGGAACATGTATACATACATCCTCCACCTTAGGCATATCATTTGCTTCGATGAATACATTAAAAATGGCTTGCACTTTTGCCTTCAATTGTGCAATCCATTCAATGCGACAATTTTAATTAATTGGCACGAAAATCCATTTTACTCTTCAAATCAGCAGCAATTGTATTTTTTGCTCCCACAAAACGATGTGTGGCGTGTCAGATGATTCAGTGGCTGAATCTCAATCGCAAAAATAGCCTCACCTACATTGTATATAGCATCGTTGTTAGCTACACGCTTGTTCAATTGTTTACGGAAAATTGCTCATTTTTGTTTTGTTTTTTCTTTGGTTTTTCTAAACTTCCAACATTTGCCGTAACTGGGCTTCTACTTCATGCTTAAACACTCTTATATAACTTGCCTTGGCAGTTTGGAAACCTAAAGATCAAATGCTATCACACCCGAAACACTTTTGGCGCTCTCACCTAGAGGAATATGAAATTTTCACTAAAATTTCATTTCCGCGAAACGCATTTCTGTTTATATTTCACTTTATACACGAAAACAAACACAAAAGATTCATAAAGTATATCAACACATACATTTTTTTCTATTTATCTAATTGGCCGTTACGCTATGAACAGTTCCTCCGTTTAATCATTTTCATTTTTTTCTATCATTGTGACAAACAAATTCCCTCAAAATATTTTAGTTTAAAAGTGCAACATAAAGTTTTTTTTCATATGGAGTTGTTGTTGTAAACTCTATATAAAAGAAATTCCATATTGCACTTTGATACTAAAATATGCTGAGGGAATTCGTTTGTCGCAGCGGTTAAATTGTTCTCAACTGTGCATGGAATACCGTTTTGGGTTTCAAATGCGGTGTAGAAAACTAAAAGTATATGCAATTGGCTGTGTAAACTGTGTGGAAAAATAAAGAATTTCCTCATCGCATCTTCATATGATATTACATTTCAGTAAACAAATAAATATTTGAAGAACTCTTTCTTTTCCATAAAATTGCGCATACGAGAAAACCAGAGTCAATTATAGTTTTTTTTTTTACTAAACTAAATGAATAAAAAGCCATACTATTAAAAGCCAACTTAGGATGGCAAAAATAACTAGTAGAATAACGAGTCGAAAAGTTTGAAGAAAAGTTAATGTTTGAGTTGAAATCGAAAAAAAGAAATGGACGGTAAAAACCGCATAGCTTCAGAATTTTACGAGTTGATCGAAAGCATGCAACCACATACGTGGAAACAGCTTCAGATGTATTGCGACGCGACCAGTTTCACTCTGTACATTAATTAAATTATAAACCGAAGGCATACAGAGTCAATGACACTTTTACGTGGCCGTTATTACTCGCTATCATTACATTACCATTTTGAACCATATACTTTTTTTTCTGTGATTCGCAACATAGGGGTATTGCAACGACTAAAATATATGTATTTTATCTAGTTTATCCAGCTCTTTCCAAGTTTATGCATAGTGTCGAACTTTTGTTCAAGCTCTACCATCTAAATGTACAGTAAAATAATTTACGGGCACGACGTGAGATGGCGTTTTTTCTGGTCAAAAAAGTTGCAATATCCCTTTGATTCGCAAAGCGTACATGCGATACCGCGACCAATTGAGAACAACAATATGTGCACATTTGAAGCTTAAAAAAATCAACCATCCGTAGTAAAATTTCTAGTTCCTATATCTCATCAAATTAACAAAAAACTCATTCTCACGCAGGCCAGCACATGAATCGATTTCTTTTGTCATTGGGTTTTGATTTTCAGTTTGTGTGTTCTCTAAAGACAGTCTAATCATTTGTTGGATCAGTACCGTTGGATTATTAGTGTATAAATCTTGAATCAGATAAAGCTCTCCAATTGACTATAGTGGTCGTTGTCAATACACGCACACACACACTCTCACTGAAATTACTAAACGGCGATAACATCAAGGGTTGAAAAAGTACAAGGTTATACCCACAATGTTATGTTTTTTTTGTCTTTTTTAAACAAGCACCGGTCATACACACACGTCTCGTAATGCACGATCGTCCGTTTATAGGTTCGTCGCACGGTCGTCCGTACGCGTCTTAGCTTTGCATATTTATCTTGCATATTTCTATATCCAAACCGGTGCTTGGTTTTAAATGCTTTAATGACACCGTTTGGATATTTAGCGATTAGTCCAACAATTTTGGCGGTCGCAGATTTTCTATTCGTTGTGAAATCATTTTTGATCTAGTCCAACAAATCTTAATGGAATTCATCGGAACGAATTGTAAGACTCCTAAAAGGATAAACAAAACACAATCAGTTTGGCATTGTTTGGTATTTGAATAAATTACACGGAAATGCCGAATTAGACAAAAGTGACATAGCACTCTAGTCAAAATCTCATTTGATGTCTATGCCTTTGAAATTGGTGCTAAACGTAATGGTGAATATCCATTTGTCGGCTGTGCTGTACTGCGGGTTTTTAGATTCAATTTCGATTTCAGTTGGAAAATGGAATGAGTTTGTGTGCCGAAAAAAAACCGTGGCTCCAAAAATACTTCGTCATTTCATTCTCAACAACTTGCAACACGATTGTTTTTTTTGTGATGGCTGTGCCTGAATTGTGGCAGTATATCGTCCGTCCGCCGGTCCATTGATCGGTCCAGCCAGTAAAAAACGCAACCAATGAAAAAAACCAAATACATATAGACCGCCATGCACAACATTACTCGATTTAGCAGCGTAAACAAGCAACAAAGCAGTCAAATTGTGCGAAACTAACACCGAAAATGATATATGGTATAATTGTATTGAATTGTACGATAGATGTATGTGGCCAATGTCAAAACGACAACCAAATTCACAGAGCTGTTCACGGTAATCTATGTGCAAATTTGTATAATTCAGCCGTTGTGAACATAGTTTGCAGGTGATTATGATGATATTCCCGACTCCTACCATCCGCATTTATGTAAACTTGAATATTATTCATTTTCTGTCATTTTTCATTCGTATGACGATTGTTCTGGGTCTCATTTGATTTTTGCTAATTCTCATTATTTTAATTTGCATTGACGCTGGCGAACCATTAATCAGAATTTAATTCGATTGAACGGCAAATGCAAAACGATAATTAAATTGATATTGTGAAGCTGCTAATTGTTATCCATTTTTTTTCTTTTTTTTTTCAATTTTATTCATTGTTTTCGTTTTTTTCTATAAATTATCTTAGCAATCTAATTAAGGCACACGGTTTTTATATGACTTAAATTATTCGGCAATTGTTCCATCTATTCTTCATTTTCGGACACTGATTCGTTTTCTTCTTTTTCCTTTTGCTCTTCCAATTTCTTGGCGCGAGCTGCCTTCAATTTTTGTTGTTTGATCAACCATGGGTCTACCCATGGCTTTGCAGTTGCTTGCCAAGCCAATGAACGAGCAATTGCTGGCGGAATCGTTGGAATGTGATCACCAACCTAGAAAAGTAATTCAATGTTCGTATTAATGTGTTAAGTGCATTCTTTGTTTGGTTAATTTGTTGTTAAAGAACAAATTAATGCTTACGGGTCGGTAGCCATGCTCGTCCGCTGTATATGTTACACTATATGTTTTACCCTCATCGTCTTTAAATGAATACGATCCCTTCACACTTTCGCCCATGTGCTCCTCTTCTTCATCGTCTTCTTCCGTTTTCATCATCATTTTCTTCAATTCACCCTCTTGGCTAACAACCGTACCGTCTTCCCCTTCGTAGCTAAATTAAATCAAATGTTAGTTTTGTCAACAGACTTCGATTTTAGTTGATCTTACTTGAAACGATATTTGCCGTCTTCTTCGAGCTCGGATTCCAATTTAACGATTTGAATGTCATGGTATTTTTTGCCTTTGCGACGATCTTCGGCATTTAGAACACCAGACCGTCTCTTTACTTCTGGTTTCGATTCAGCCTCTTGGGATTCCGTTTTTTCTTCAGATATTTCATCGCTCTCACTTGATTTTTCCTTCTCTTCGGCCTTTAGAACACCAGACCGTCCCTTTACTTCTGGTTTCGATTCAGCCTCTTGGGATTCCGTTTTTTCTTTAGATATTTCATCGCTCTCACTTGATTTTTCCTTCTCTTTCGCCTTTTCGCTTTTCTCTTCCGGCCTCTCGGTCGGTTGTTCTGCAATTTGTTCTGTTGTTGGCTCTTCAGTTGTCTTTTCCGTCGTTTTTGCAGCTACAGTTGTTGTCTTTTGAGTTGGTTCTTCTGTTGTGGTAGTCTTTTTGGTTGGTTTTTCTGTGGTTGTTGTTGTCGTCGTTGTAGTTGTCGTAGTTGTTGTCGTTGCCTTTGTTGTTGTTGATTTTTCCACTGGTTTTTGTGTTATTTTCTCTTCTGCTAGGGAAAATCCGTAACGTGCTCTACCTCTCGATTGAATCGGTCGGAATGTGGTGGGTTTTAATTCTTCCTTCGGTGGACTTTTTTCATCGGCCGGTTTCTTTTCCTCAGATTCTTTTTCATTCTTGACATCTTCTTTGTCTTCAGCTTTTTTAAGTCCAACAGTTAATGGACCCACTTTTACTTCCGCGATATTCGATTCAGCCGCCTCTTTATGATTCCCATTTTTTTCGTTTTCCTATCGAAATTTCAAAAATAAAATTGAATTCGAAAAAAAAATTCCCAGTAAAAAAAGAACTATTTTATAGAAGAGCAATCTTTAACATATTACTATTGCCAAAAAAAACCCACAAATTACTTTCAAATTCCCCACTTTTCATGGAATTTGGCAATGTTTCATTCGTTTTTCGAACACTTTAATTACTATTTCAATATCAAGTACTTTTTCCTCTTTTGGCTGTGCCGGCGATTCTTCAGCTTTGGCAGTCTTGCTTTCCGCTAATTTTTCGGTTTTGGCTTGAGTCGTAGACGGAATTTCAGTTGTTGTCGTCGTCGTCGTTTGTTTTACTGTCGTTGATGCAGCAGTGGTTGTTGTAGTTGGTTCAGCCAATTTCACATCGAATTTCTTTGGAGAGACTTTAACTTGTAATTCGACTGGTTTCACTTCGACTGGAATTTGATCTTCCTTAACTTCATCCGTGGAGACGGATAAACTCGCTAACGGTTGTTTATTGACTGGTGAAGCGGAGACGCTTGCTATAAAGCAAGCCAATACAAATAGAGCAAATCTCATTTTGTTCGCACAATCGCACACAATTATCACACAAAATGAACAAGATGGCAAGGAAAGGAAAAAATAAATAAGACACACAATAACGGACGGTTCGATTCGAATTCAAACTGAAACTGTTATGCAATTTGTGTCTGAGGATGGCTTTTATATACCGAAAAATGATGTACGCAATATTGGCGAAAACAAAATTCACACTCACACACACATACACACACACACACACACACACACACACGCTGATCACATCGCTGAGGAAGAAACGAGATATAAAAATGTGTGATGAATTCCTAAAAATTTAAAACGAAAAAAGAAGAAAAGATGAAAACGAAATCAAAAACTCACAAATACGCGTACATAATCTGATAAGAAGAACTTGTATTTGGTGGAATAAACAACAAAAAGATGATATAAAAAACGGGAGAGTTAATACATCTTCCTTGCATGACTCACACCCAATACAAATGCATATTTGGTATTGCGTTTTCTTTTCGGCCATCGTCGTGTTGTATGACAAAACGATACAAAATCGTCGATGAACTGTACCCAAAAATACACACAACATCATTTTATGTATACAAACTCTTTTTTTTTTTTAAATTTCATTAGCATTTTTATCGACAGCAGTTGAAACTAACAGTCAGCGGTGTGTGAACAGTGTCGTTACATCTTTTGTTTCATCTCATTAGCCGAATTATCTAAAAAAAATTTCACCACATAAATTGCGAAATGCTTAAGTCGATGGAATTGATCGACAGCGCCCTATGGCTTTTACACGTTGTAAGCCGGTGAATTTATTGTTATCATCATATATGTGATTGTTATAGAACCTGAAATGATACTGCCTATACGATTGGGATAAAACAAATCGCAAATCCAGTATTTCATTTGAAAATATATAAATGATAACATCATCACTCAAAAAATCATCGATCTTAAAATTTATTGCTAATTTATATGATTAAATATGGGTTTCGTCTACTACTGAAATCATCTGTTTTTACTCAGTTTTTACGCCGTTTCAAAGTATTAAAAGCATTCATTCCAGCCCAAAACCATTTAATTTCGTTTGCCTGGCTTATGACCTATTAGCTTATGACACAATCATTCATTGAATCGTTTTGTGATTTTCAATTTCGATATCAACTATATGTGGTTTGGCATAGATGATATGGACGTTATCAACTTGTGATTCAGTCTATTGAACAATGCGACGGTTTATCCATAAGCCTTCGTTTCAATAGCATAAGACAAAGGTCTTGATCACATGTACACCAACAAAATTGAGGTGGAAAAATTCCATATTGATAATCACCCAGCAAATCTGACGAAAATACTGATGAATTGGCTAGCTCTTTAAAAATTAAATGTGTTTTTTTGTCTCTTTTTCATCATGATGCAGGTAATTAGCAATGAGTATCCACTGTGAAAAGTTGTTCTGAAGAACATAATCGCATCCTGTCAAATTCGATTAAGCTGATGCAGAATTGTCATTTCCATTATTTTCTTCATATGAGAATAAACGTTGATTTATGCGCCAACACTGCTGTCATTGCAGTTAATGTATGAGCAAAGCCATACACAGTGATACACATAAACCAAAAGTCATCGTCAGTTTCGTTTTCTTTCTTCCTCTGTCGTCCATTAGATTACATGGTCAACAACCTCGAGTGGCAACAGTAGCGTGGATCGAAAGTGAGATTTTGTCAAGTAGCCCGTTGTTCGACTTGATTCAAGAATCAGTCGACCTAATCCATGGTTGTTGAATGTCATTCAATGCCACTAAGCTGTCGAAATCTCTCTCCGGCTATACGGCAAACAACAGAACCAACACTGAACATGAAAATGACATGTTCAATTGTGTCGCTGAGCATAAAAATGGGAATACAGATCTGTTACAGCAATAACCGAACATAAAATATTGTTCCCTAAAAACGTTACATGAAGGTCCATCTAACGCGAGTGTAACATGAGTTGCATTAGAAACAGTATTAGCTCATGTTACACTCGCGTTGGATAGAAATTCATGTAACGTTTTTAGGAAACAATATTTTATGTTCGGTTGTTGCTGTAACAGATCTGTATTCCCATTTTTATGCTCAGCGACACAATTGTGTTTGTTTCGTTAGTTTCAACTGTGCCGCTACGAGAGGTCACTTTTGTCGTTTCTTGTTGTTATTTAACATGTAAAATCAAATGGTATTAGACGAGGATGACCCAATCAAAAACATTTTAATATCTCTTCAATTCAATTCACTTTCCAAATGAAATCACCATGTTTCACCTCACACCAAAAATAACAATGAATTCACTTGAGTCTAATCGCAAATCATTCTTGAAATGAGTCTCTGATTCCGAATTCTGGTTCTAAATCCTTGTTCGATCGTTGAATAATACCTCAAATCTATATAATGACATAACATTGATCATCGACGCTGTCGTCTCTTTTCGAAGTGATGTCATAGTGATTACGAAGCTCAGTGCTCAGACACATCAGGTATTCGTTTAAATGAATAAAACGACCGTTTGGTTCCCATCCGATTAAATATGTCTACATCATTATGCTAAACACATTTTTATTTTTCCATTCGGATGGTCCAAAAATGAAAGAATAATGAAAACACATTTAATGGTTTGATAGCAGAAATCGCACGTAGAATCGCATCAATGAACCATGACGAGATCCGCATTTCTTTTGATGGCAAATAGCAAATCATCATCGTCTAAAAATAATGTAACACAGAGATTTAAAAAAAATAAAAACCACCAAGAATGACAAATAGGAGCGATGGGTGTTTAGCATTTTTTAGATATACATTGAGGTCAGTTTGTGTCACATCGATTAGATAAATGACAGTGTGTATGTGCGCGTGTCGCATTTGACAATAAATTTTAACCCAAAAACTTATGATCTAATCGAGTTATCGAGTTGATCGCATGAGCTCTTATCCCAAATCGTGAATTTGAACTATTACATTTTGTATCATCATCATATTCTTATTAAAAAAAATTTTGCTCATTCTTCTGACGATAAATTCTCGATTTAATTGGCCATTTACTTGTTCTGAGATCGGGATACGAAGATGCCATAACGCGCCATTTGATATTCAAAATCCCATTTTGCAAAGCTTTACAATTTTTCCTTTTTGTGCTAGCTGCAACTATTAAATTCCGTATTTTTTTCTTTCTTTAACATAGGCCTAGGGTTAAATGACAAGAATATTTGATGATTTGATACATGGGAAAATAGAATACATATTTTGATGTGTTTTAATCGGATCCCGGTTGTTATTTTAAGAAAAACCAAAAAAAAAAATTGGTTAGATGCTGCGCAAATCACATACTCACTGCGACTTACGAATATGAATTGAAATTGACTGCGAATAAAATTCACATAAATCCCATTTAATTGGCCGACTATATTGTATAAATACACATTCCAAAACAGACAAATAAACGTATGATTTTTTCATGTTTGGCTGATGACCGGTGTGCTCATGTACACTACATTTGGCACGAACATCGACAAACTGGTTCCGATATTCTTCTTCTTCTTCTTCTTCTCGAATTATTTTCTGTTCTTTTGTGTTTTTCATACAAAAGAGCATGAAAAGGATTATATTGATAAGATCACTGCAAGATATAATAATTATAATAATAATAAGGAACCATCTCTATCTCGCTCTCGCTCTCGCAATGATGTAACTCAAATGAAATTCGCAAAGATTATACAATTTATACATGTATAAACAGCGATTGCATTTGATGTAAACAAAAACAACCGATTCTAAAGTAAGATTTATTCTCTTTCTCTCTCGCAGTAAGAGAAAACTAAATGCCTGCTACCAATGTGCTAGCGAAAAAAAATGGTTCGTCCGAAAAAAATGCCATCGCACATAATTTCAGTCAATTAAGCCTGCTATAACGGGTTTTAAGAGGGATTAATCCACATTACACTCGGCTCAGACCAAGTAGAATTGCATGTGTATGACATCTGCAGTATTTCTTTGGATGGTTTTTCGTTTTATTACTTGTTAATAAACATGGTTTATGCTCATAATTTTTGGCCTCGCTCATAATTCATCGGATGCCGCTATGTGTTGGAAATTCGGCAAGAGTTTGGTAGAAGAATGAACTTCCTAAGTGCACAATAAAATACAATATACCGAAGACGAAGAAGAAAAAGAAAATGTGTGAATGAACTGTACCATTAAAAAACCAGTTATTTTTTGGAGATCTATTGCTTTACGCCAGAATCAAAGTATGAGTTTTTGTTCAATCCACATTTTTCCACACTTGGTGCAGTTTGTAGTTTTTCAACGATTAATACTAACCCAAATGGGATGAGATAACGCAGAAAGGTGAACCGCGAAAAAACATCAAAATTTATTGCAACGAAATTTGAGAGGTGGAACACAATAGCACTTTGTAACCGCTCTCCATTTGACTTTAAATGGTATTTTTTTCCTATGTAAAATGAAAAATGGAGGCGGCATGCATTCGCCTTGGAGAAAAGAAGCAGAAAATAAATTAAATTAATCCCTCTTTTGCAATATGCTGTGTTTTAACTTTGTCACACCATAAACCCATTACATGTTGTCCTCTTCAGCTGTTGCCGGCCACATCACATCATCACCACTTTCCCCGGTGTATTGCGTTTGTGTAGAACCATTTTAATTTGTTGTAAAGCAAAAGTTACTACCATATCGTATCAGAAATACTTTTTCGGTATGAATACACCAATAGAGTATAAATATATAAGCGATTTGGGTGGCAAACGATGTTTTTGGACTTTTATTTCATTCAATTCATTGAGTGTTAATCTTAAAATTTCGGTCAAGTATTCCAATTATATTTCGAATGAACGATGAAAATCGTTCATCTATTGACCATTTGAAAGGTGGATGTCAATCGATGAAACTCTTTACTAATTAGTCAAATTGACATGGAACGAGTCAGCATGCGAATATAATGTCAACACAAATAAAAACTGAGCGACGAAAGTGTTTGTGTGCAAAATCTAACCGGAAACATTTATTGCGATTATTATAAAAGTGTTCAAGCAAAACGCATAATAATAAATCAATGTATACATAATTTTGGATAAATAGATTGGCTGCAACTATGGTTGCAGTGCGGTTATAATGTTCTTAATAATGCATTTCCATTTTTCGTGTGAGGTTTCATTTTTGTGTAGGTGTGTGTGTTATTTTGGTCGAGAATCAATTAAAACATCGGTTGATATCGTGGTCGTTGTGGTGGTCCATATGTCTGATTGATTGTTGTTTCGATAACTGAATACCAAATTTATAAGTTTTCCTCCACTTCATAGCTATTTCTCTCGTTGTTTATGATTTAAGTTTGTGTGTGTGTGTGTGTGTGTGTGTATGTGTGTGATTACTGGTTGTTGTTTGACGGTGGTAACGATAAAAGGTAGTCGACAGCTTTTTGGATTTCTGGTGGAATGGGGGGTGGTGTTGGCAAATGAGCTCCCTGAAAATGTTCAACAGAAATCAAATTAAATTATCATATCATCAGAGACCGATGAACGACCGATGAACGAAAAAGGTCAAATCTGTGCACCAGCATAAACGACGATGTGACTTTCAATTATCAATTGATTTTTGTTCAGCGTGGTCTAGTCTAGTCTCAAAACTTATTGCTCCTAATCACTGAATACACCCGTTAATATCGATTTATCATTTAAATTTCAAAAGCAAACAAATTCTATTGAGAAAACTGGTTTCTCTGGCTGCCGTTTTATTTATTTTTAGACCATTAAATCTTCTTCTTTTTTTTAATTTCTTTCAATCAACAAAACATTGTATTGAATATATATTGGCGGATTTATACTCGAAAAATGTGCAAATGCATGAAATGAATAATTTCAAGACCAAAAACAAAATGTTCGCTACGCTCTTCATTTAAAATGCGACAACCCAAATACATTGACCGAGTCTACGGTTTTGTTCTGTTGCGTTGCTTCATTTCAAATATGCTGCAAAGATGCTTTTCGGATTTTCGACTTTTTCTTTTCGTTTGCACTTCAGCAGTTTAAGTTTAAAAATAAAGAAGAGACTCTAAATTAGAATCCTATTTGAAACATGTAGCTCAATGCTATTCGAATTCTTACCTGTGGCTGGAACCCTCCAACATCATCAGCAACATATTGGAGTGTAATCAATTCTCCTTCAGGTGACTTGTAGCTATATGAACCCTGGGCAACAATGGCGTCGTTACTATCTGGACTCGAAGCTTTTTTCAGCGTACCGGTTTCTTCGGCGTTGATCTCGTTCCCTGTTGCGTAGCTGAAGACAAAAAATAATGAGAAAAATAAACAAAACAAAAAGTCAGCAAAAAAGCACTTTGTGATTTCTTCAAATTCTCGCATTCATAAATACTTTCGAGTCTGGTTTTTTATTGATAAACAAAATGTTAACTTTTTTACTCCATCGTGTCTCCGTGGTCGAAATGAAGGCGAAAATCGAAAAATTTGAAATTGAAAATGCGTTGTGGTTCGACGGTTGCCTACACACAGGCGGAAATACCAATTAATTTATCCATTGGTTTTGTTCGGTCTCTGTGTGTCGGTCGGTCGATGCGCCTCAAAAAGCAAACACACTTGACCAAAAAGATTCGTTTTGGGCATAAAAATATTGCCGGAATACCAAAAGACAGCCAATGACATCTCTAAACCAACTTATTGAATCATCGAATATTTCGAGCAACTTTTTTCGATCGTGTGTGGCTTGAGTTGAATATAATCAACTTAACGGCGACACTAGCAGCTTCTCTGCACACACATCGTAGAAGAGAGTACAAAAATCTTATTATTTTGGCAAATGCATCGAGTAACCATTGCGAAACATCAATACGTTTTGGCTAACGCGTAGTACCGGCCCACAGAGAAGCTGTTAGCGTCGCCGTAAAGTTGATTATATTCTAGTAAAGCCATACACATTTGAAAAAGCTGCCGAAAAATACTTCACTGAGTTATAATATAATTGAGATGGCATTGACTGCTATGTGTCAAATGACTTACATTTGAAATGTATTGTGGCACTTTCCCTATGGTTTTGGGTTTGCTTTTGTATTTTAGTTTTCGTTTTTGCCCATTTACCTACCTGTATTTGTATGATCCATCCGGTTCAATGTTTGATGCTTGACTTAAAATTGGAATCGGAGTTGTTTGCTCACCAGTATTTTGCGGTGCACTGCACACAAACCCAATACATAGTATCAATAGAACAGATGTTTCCTTCATCGATTCCAAAGAGAATGAAGACGAGAGAAAAAAAGAGAGAAAGACATAAAAAAGCATGAATAAACTTTATGAAAACATGACCGACATGACGGTTGCAAATGTAACACATTTTCTCTATGATGTGATTTGATAATATTTTCCAGCCGACGCGACATGCCAGTGGATGTGTTTGTTTTCGTCATAGCACTGATTAAATAACTGTCTTAGAATTTATTGGACATACGGAAAATGGTTTGAAGTATACATTTAGCAACGAAAATGATGTTTGCCAGCGAAATTAAATTTTTTTGACGATTTTTATGTCACGTTTACGAAATTTTGCACATTATTGCTTACGTTCGCCCATAAAATGCCGATACTTTAAACATGAATTACGGCTTTTATGTGCTGTACAAATATTTAAATATTTTCTAATGCGTTTAATTTTCTGGTGAGACTGAACTGGCATCACATCGTGCACACACCTAGAATTGCACATGATACGATATCTTACACGATTATGGCATTCCAAACTTTTTGTGGAAATATTTTTAAACAAAATTAGAAATGTCACTTGTTTTCTGTAATTTTCAAAGGTGTGAGTTCAATGTGAGCACCCGCCTACACTCGAAACATCAAAATGTATGTATGTGCCTAATATGCGAAATTGAGCTGATGTTAAATGCGTGCATAGTGCCAAGGTGCTTAATTTACGTGTCAAAGTTCTTGTGATCGTTACAAATTGATTTTAGTTTAATTCATGTGCTGTTTTACTTACGTATTTCATTTTCTTTGAGAATTCTATTCGATGGGCTAGGTAGAACGAAAAAAAAAAAATCTGTCACAGCTGTCGCAAATTGAGATCACTTTTTCGGTTGTTGTAATTTGGTAGCAGATACTTCGAAATGATTCTGCAAAGTAAAAACAATGAATAATGATATGACAAATGTCTGTTCTTCCTTCGAATGTGCGCTAAATATGCTGCTTTCGAATGTTGAATACTCATTGTTATATTTATAAATGGTTTATTGACCAATAAGAACTTGATGTGAACTGAAGAGAAAATGCAATTTTGAGAGATAGCAATAATCCCTGTTCCTACATAACCGTTACTTGATAAACAAATATACTATCATCTCTCACTCTCTCTTTTACAAACACACATACCATGAGACAAACCATTTCACATGCATACAAAATATTGAAATTTGAACAGATTCCTTGTCTCCAATAATTTTTCCTATCGTCGGTCGGTCAATCAATTTGAACAATGTGAACAACGTTAATTCGATCACTATCAATAGTATTTTGCCGTAGCTTTGTGAATGAACAAAAAAACAACTAAAGAGCACATTTAATACTTAATTTTAATATGCTACCCAATAATAGCCCATAATTTTACACGCAAACAATATGTAATAAATTTACACTGTGAAACGAGTGTTGCTGGGGACTGGAACTAAGCGCCAGTGTGCTGTGTCACAATTATCCAGTTGTCGGAATGTATCACGAAAATGCTAACTGATTTAATTTTGTTCTGGCTATTTATACTGTTCGATTTTTCTCTCATGTGGAGGCAGCAGCAGCATTTTTCGGGAGTCAATTCGATTGAGTCATATTGAGATTTGAGATCGTATTGTGTTTTTCCTTCTCACTCCGATTATTGGTCTATATGAATCGCGTATAGCATGCCGTTACCTCTCTCTCTCTCTATATATATATATATATGTATATATATGCTAGATAGATTGAGTGCACTTCTATACATCTACTTCTCTCTCTCTCTCTCTCTCTCTCTCTCTCTCTCTCTCTCTCTCTCTATCTCGATGTTTTCCCTCTCCGAACTTACAAATACATTAAGTGTCCAACTATAATAGTAAATAAAATATGAATAAAAAGACGTTAATAATGAAGATGATTACAGAAGGGGTATGCGCGCGCGCGCTCACACGGCAAAACAACTTCAAGATTGACTATCAAAGTTTTATGCGGTAATACATTATGAAGACGATGATAGTATAGATATTATTAATAAACTAACAAACAAACCAAATGAAATTAAAATATGGTAAATATTCGAGGTGTAGTGAAACAAAAAATGTATAATAAATTTTCATAATTCTATGGCGCCCGCTATATGAGCCGCAAACACATCGTTGCATCTCTGCAGTGCAATCAGTTTTGTTTTATTGGCGGTGGTCAGCTTCTCAGTTTCGCGTGGGTGCGGGCGCTAACTTAATGCCAGCCACCACTTCATATCGATCGGTAATGTAAGTAATGATAATGTTTATTGATTGCTTTTGCCATATTTACACATGATGGAAAAAAAGCGCAGTTTACTCGGGCCGGATTTCAATCAATATACGTTGTATATCACAAAAATTCTCATTATTTTTCGATTAAATCCAGCAACACCAGGGACAAAATTGATTTTGAGTATCGCGGTTTTAATCGGTGACAGTTTTCGACGAATTTCATTCAACTTCATCACCATGGATGGTTTGCTACATTTTTAACCATTTTCAATGCGATTGTGTGTATGTGTGTCAATTTGCACATATATATATATGCGAAATGACTGTAAGTCGATATCAATCGAAATGGATGGAAATCCGCGATTGCGATTGAATAAAAAGGTTATAGATTCGAATTCCTGTACATTGTTTATGAGCAACAAACCTTTCGCATAGATGATGGGTCGAGTGTGAGCAAGCGGGCGGGCGAACGCACGTTCATTTCATGAAGTTCTTTCCTCATTACAAAGTAACCTTTAAAATTCATCTGTTCGCTTGTTTGACTTTTGAACAATTCAATCGATGCTATGTTTACGCTTATCGAATGCATTATGTACAATGTTTTTTGTCTTCTCTTTTTGATTCAGTATGTGTTAAGGCAGGCTATTGCTGCATTATTATTGTCGTGCTACTTATGTTATGCACGCTGCCGTGCACTTTATTACAATGTGACACAAGCTGAAAAATATTGTTGCAGATGAACCAACAGCAACAACAACAACAACAACATCATCAGCGCTAATATCGATTTCTTGCATAAAACTACGTTTTCGTCTCGTGCGCAGTCAATTACACATTCTGGAGCCGAATGAAATAAAGCAGAAAGTAGTTGACATTTCAAATAATTTCAGTATGATCTGATCACACACATATACAATGTAAAGTGCAAAATGTATAGGCTGTCTGTAGCAGTGCGCGCCTTTCGTCTCTATTTCAATTGAAGCCATGAAATTGTTCGCGCATAGATCTCTTTGATTGTCTCTAATGATGTGTTTTGAATTGTCATTGTTGTTGAGTTTATCATTTGATAATATTTGCTCGACTTACCTGATTGAAACTACTTCGACCGATCAATATAGGCCGAAAAGCTTTTTTGTTGGTGTTTTTGTCATCGCAGTCGCCGCCACCAAGTAAACTGACACTAAGTAGTCAAACTAGAAGTCGAAACATTGAAAATTCATTAATAGTGCAAAAAAGTGTTCTCAATCTTGCCGTCTATTAGAAGGCATGGCCATTTGCGTTTCGGTCATTCAAATTTGTTCACTGCCACAAAAGCACCATGTGTTCAAAAAGTTCGATCGTTAGAGTGTTGTGCAACTTTGCATTTGACTGGAATCTCATTCAATCAAGAGTTCTCAAATGAGAGTTCTCCGAATGAAAGGAGAAGAAGAAGACGAAGAGTAAAGAATAACTCATGCAGTCGAAAATGACGAGAAAACATGCAAAAAATCACTCACTTTTCATTGACATTTTGTTGCCTTTCGTCGTTGCCCGTACACACTCAACTACCATAATTGATTTCTCTCAAATGCAACAAATTACTTTGCTGAAAATGAAAATGAAGAAGAAAAAGAAGAACAAAGAACCGAACTGTGTCTCTAGCGGTTGCAGTGAATCGCGTGTCGTGCACGAATTTCGCATCAATAATCTTCACAGCTATTGAGTTTCAGTATTGGATTTCGCGCCCGCAAAAGATTTAATTTGAATAGTTTTTTTTTTCTACTGGTGTATGGTACGCATAAAAATGGCTTCAGTTGCATGTGTCAATGCAATTGAATGCAATTTCGATTGCCACAAAAATTGCATGTATTATTGATGAGTGGAGAGAAAATGTGAAGGCCAATTCAAATTAAAAGTGTGACTATCTCATCACCTTGCTTCGAATTGCGTTTCGTCAAAACGGTGCCGTATGTGTGTGTGTGTTCATTGGCAAGAATTGAGAATTGCAAAAGGAATGAAGAAGAAGAAGAAGAAGAAGAAAAAAAAAAGAAATCAATTGGCAAATCGGTGCGTTTTCTATCTTGAAAGTGTGGCTGGAATTTTTTCTTTCAAAATAAGTATATATTTTCTTTTCGATGATGATGATGATGATGATGTCGATGGCGGTGAGCATTAGGTTCGCACCGTAAAACGGGTGAAAAGTGATGATGAGCGTTATAAAACTTGGTCACCACTTGAAACAATCACACGAATTAATCGATCTATTGTGCCATCTTCGTCATACGCAAACAAACTTATGGGCACGCACGAAACATAAAATACGCTGAGATTGGTGCTACTCTTGTTCTCTTTCTCTCATGCCACAGAATACACATTATTGATTCTTTTCTCAATTTCATTTTTTTGATTGGTCTTTCCGAGATAGAGGTTTGGCTCTCTCAGTCTGCAACAGGCTTGCTTGTAAATATTGAACTAAACGAATAGTTTCATACAACCAACTTCAAATATGTATCTTTTCCAAGCAAGATTTCGATATGCTATTGGTGTTTGTCAACTGGTTGAGCGCGAGCGCTCACTCACTCGTTCTTTCGGTAACTGCATCTTTCGATGAGTTGATTGAATAATATTTTGGAGCTTTTAACTGTCATGCATTATTTATTTGACGTTCAATCGATTTACTTTGTTCACTTGAAGCTTTGGATATGCTATAATATTATACATACTATACAGTGTACACTGTACATATTCAAACTTGTTACTTTTTGCCGTTGGTAAGAGCACCCAAATCATTAAGTTGTTCAGCTCATTGTCGAACTAAAAATTGAATGTATGAACAAAAATATCAGTTTGCTGGTCGAATTCACAACAGGCCATTAACGACAACAGAGTCTTAAAGTGATTTTTTTCTATTCTCAATCTTAAATTTTACGGTGTGGCCGATGGCATGGATAATAGTGCGCATTTATTTCGATGGTTGTCTCTTCGCAGGTCAAGTCAAGTGTGTGTGTGTGTGTGTGTAATTTAATCAAATTACCTTGTTATTTCGAAATTGTGTCAAAAAATTATAGATACATCGGCATAGTGAATCCGGTCTATGGCCTAATGGTTATTCGTGTGTGTGACTATTGCCAATTAACCATCTGTCGATGGTATTTCCATTACATTCTTTGAAAAATATGTATATACACAAGTCAATGATCTACTAAATTAAATGTCAAACAAGTGTCTATGTAAGTGTGTTTTAAGTGTCAGGCGGGTAAATTCTAAGAAAGCAAAGAAGAATATTACATTACCTTTTCGAACCTCAACACGCCAGAAATGACACTGAGTGTTCCACTTTGAAAGTACAATCAATAAATGCCTAAAATTTGGTTCTGTTTTTTTCACGCATATATTTTCATATCATAAATTTTTGTTCTGGTTTTTATTTTAAAAAATAAATATCTGCAATTGATTATATGTTATCAGTTTCTTCATCCTATGATATAGTTTATTTGGTAATATACTTGACATTTATTTGAATTGAATGGAAATCGATGATTTCACAATCAACATATATATGCATTTAATTTATATTTATTTCAACATATATATGCATTTAATTTAAATAAACCAAAAACCTTGATCCTCTTAGTAACCTGATAAACTTCTGAATTTCGAATGAATGTGTTTGTACATTCATACGATGAATGATTTTGGTTTTTGTGAATTTTGCACGGTCTTTACCTATATATAAATTTTTTGCTAGGAAGATAGTCAACAGATTTGAGTAGCAATTACCGGGGCAAATCAAACGCATGCGTCTAGGATTGAAACTTACGTGTAATTATTTTATACAAATATGGCATGTCACCAGGCTCACAATGTATATCAATGTATTAATATCGACTGGCATCGAAAAAATTATTTTACAGCGCCACCATACGGCCACAATGTGGCCATACCAATTTGGCCATACATTCAATACACTACTTCTCCTCCTCTTTTTCCCCACAATATAAAAACAATATGGAAATCGTGTTCAGTGGCATGCTGGCGCTGCTATCGAATGTTAGCTAGCCAAATTGTCAGGTTGATGTCAGGCACAACGGCCCACTACTGACCAACAATACAATCACATTTGGATTAGATAGAAAGAAAATTTCGAATGATGAAGACAAATCAGAAGCATAATTGATTGGACAGCGATTTCAACAGATATCCAATTTGCGCCTTTGCATCTGGCTAAATGTATGTTCGCGTCGTTTTCACCAGAAACTTGATTCTAAATTAATAATGCTCGATGTGAGTGTATTTAAAGCCTAATCCAACCAATGCTTTTCAATGCCTTCGACAAATCTGTTGTGTACTCTCCTCATGTCAGGGCGTTATATTTATATTTAAACTTCAAGGATTTTTTCGTTCACTTTGCTGTGAGTTGTATGTGTGTGTGCAGAATGACCCACTTATTTTTTTCTTAATACCATTTCCCTCTTCGTCACTCACGCTGTCCCATTCATCAAAATCCCACCTCATTCATCTCTTCTCTTCCGTCACTCCATTTAACGTGGATTCTATATACAATTTGATGCTGCGAATTGAATTACATTTTATTCCATATTTATTGATACTAAATTATCATTATCATATACAGTAATAATATACGAACATTAATTCGCTACAATTCTTTCGATAAATGGAACATCGAATCTTGATATAATCGCTAGCTTCAGCTGAACATTTTATCTTTTATTCGTATTTCATTCTTCTCATTTTCTCTTCACTACCGTTTTGCTCGGTACCATTTTACGTTCGTTCGTTCGACAGCGCCGCATAATCCGCTCAAATCGTTATGAATGCAGTTCAGCTGCAAGCGGCTACATAGCCAACACACCGCTATCCGTTTTTCTAATGCTTCAATTAGTATAGGTGTATGTTCGAGCTATTTGTTTTATCCTCTCAAACATATTTTTCTTTCATTCATTCATTCAAGATTGAATCTTCTTTCTTGTCTTTGGGTGGAAAATTTCCGTATTTCACTTTACCTTATTTTTATTCCGTTTGTTCACGTACCTCGTTTGTTCTACTATTATGTGACTACATATTCTGTATGATACTAAAATATGTATGCTAAAAAACTGATCTTAATGGCTAATACTAATGAATTGATCTGGAATCAATGATTTCAATGTCGATATGGAATTCACGTCAAAAACATATGGTTACGGACGAGTGCATTTTTTTACTGCGTTGATCTTAGATAGAAGATTTTTATTAGAATCCTCCAGCGAGAGTGGGAGACAGATAGAAAAACAAAAATGAAAAAAACGAAAAAGGTGTCGTTCAATACATGAAACTGGTTGAATGTAAAATTGAAATTGTGCCAGTACAAGACCCGCACAAAAATACTTCATTTTAATGCAGCGAAAGTAAATATGCATGAATATAATCTGCGTTCAATTCGCTGAGCATCTATTTTCGCAATTCATAAAACGCATGTTTCGAGCACACAAACCACATATTCACACCATAAATTTGCTGCCATACGATATAAATACTTTGTACCAAGAAGGTGAGCGAGAATATCAAAGTCATTTAAAAAGAGGTTTTATCCATAAAAATGGCCCACACATGTACACTTTATTTTTAAGTTCATTTTAAATGTTTTATTCAAGGAAAATTAAAAAGGAAAAGATTTACTTGGGGTTTTAAAAAAATTCTCTTATTTTGACAAATACGGGAAAAATTAAAATAAACCAAAAAATGGTGCAAAACTGAAATTAAAATATTTTCCATCAACAATAATTGAGCTAAATAAACACACGTTAGAAGCATTTGTGCCGTTGAAACCGAATTAAATTCGGTAGTCGCGGTCGCGACAAAAAGGCATCCATAATTGAATGAGATAGGGAGAGGGAGAGAGGGATAGAGGGAGAGGGGAGAGGGAGAGGGGAGAGGGAGAGGGGAGAGGGAGAAAATGTACCTACGTAAGTGAGTCTTACATCAGTTTTCTTATTAATATGCAAATTGAGTCTTGCCAGCATAAATTTCATTATGCAGCTTTACACGGATATGGATATCCGGAGATAATTATGTTGTATGACAGCGCGTTTACATCATCTGCTACCGTTCGCTGGATTATACAAAATCGGATATAATAATAAGTGAAGCAACGATGTGTGCACTCTTCTCAGACAGACGACTAATAAATACATTGAATCTGAAAGCGAACGCTCATGTAAAATGAAAGATTCTATTCAAAGATAAAAAGAATGGTTCGTAATGCTGACGCTAGTTTCGAAAATGTCCTTTGTGTCGAGAGAAAGTGAAAGCAAGAGAAAGAAATTTCATGCTCCATTCTATGAAATCAATTTCCATGCCTAGAAAAAAAAAACAACGATCAAAAATGCCATTTTATTCATAAAATGTAACTTAGTTTTTAGATATTGTAAAGAAAACAGTGTATATACGACGACGACGACGATAATAGATAAATGGGACATGAATGCATCGAGTGCACCAAATAACCATTGCTTTTGTTCTAATTTTTTTCTTACCATAAACCTATTTTATTCATATTTGCCCAGCAAAATTTAGTCCTTTCCATATGTTTGCTGTGTGTTCTTTGTTTTCTACACGGTTATTTACAATTAAAATAGACTTTAATAAACGTTTTTTCTCTATTGTGGTTAGACATTTGCACTGTTGTCCACAATTTATATACAAAGTGTTTTTTTTTGTTGTTCCTGTTGCTTTCAGACTAATTAAGCTGCATCTATCATTCCATATAAATATATTAATATATATATATATATTATTTGTGTCGCTGATCATAAAAATGGGAATACAGATCTATTATAGCAAGAACCGAACATGATAAAAGTGTTTCTTAAAAACGCAACATGAGTCTCCAATGAACGTGAATGTAAGATGAGCTACGGTTGCTACAGTATTCTTATGACGAGCTTTAGTGTGGCGCAAATTCATGTTGCGTTTTTCAGAATGCGCTTCGTTGCGTTCCTGAATAACAACAGTTATTCAGTTTATATTGTTTTAACACATCTAACGAAGCGAACGCAAGCGTACGTTGCAAGACGACAGCTATTCAAGTACCGTATACTGCGACAACGCAAGCAGAAAATTATTGCGCGATGTATATGCGATAACTGCCTTATGCGATACTGTTTTTATGCGTTTTGTACACATTGCACTACATCAAAGAACGTAATAGGGAAAGTAGGTTCTGAAAAACGTAACATGAATTTGCGCCACTTTGAAGCGCGTCGTAGGAATACTGTAGCAACCGTAGTTCATGTTAAATTCACATTGATTGGAGACTCATGTTGCGTTTTTAAGAAACACTTTTTTCATGTTCGGTTCTTGCTATAACCGATCTGTATTCCCATTTTTACGCTCAGCGACACATTTCATGTTCGTATTTTGTGCATTGAATTGCATTGTACGCCTTTTCGACTAATCATATAGTGCCTTATTTACGAATAACATTTATTAAAGATTTGTATTCATGAGCATGATAAATAAAACGATTTTTTTTAGCACTACATGGAATGTAGGCTAATGTAATGTAGTTGTTTTTTTCCCAAGAAAATTTTCAGAGTATTTAGGCCATTTTTTTGGACCGAAAATTGATTCATTTTAATATCCATATTTTTTATTTGAAATGAAGCAATTACGCCCAATTGCAAAAATGAAATAAAGTCATGTTCTTGAGATAACTCAAAAAAAAAAAAATTTACACTTTTTTCGTTACCAATGTGAAATAATTTACAATGACCGTTCACATTGAATGTACATAAAACACATAAGTGAAGAATACAATATCAACATGTAAATTTATTTAATTATTTTTGACAATATTAAAATGATCTGCATTAAAACTACATTCCATGTAGTGCTTACGATAATAATTTGATGAGAAACATTAAATTAATTAAACTCCTTAAATTTACAAGCTTCAAGAACGCTTTGCTCCGCTCTGCGGTCTTGTTTTTAATTTCTGTATGTTACTATTTTTTACCTCAAATTACCTAGACATGATTTCACTAACAATGGTGTTGATTGACTAGGTTCTTCTTGTTTGTATGTAATATTTATATATAATTTTTGGTTTCTCTTTGGGTGTTTGCAATAGTATTCAAAAATAAGTAAATTCAAGTCAAACGACAACATTTGACAATTTCTTAATAATAAATTCAAATATTTGGAGGTATTAGTTTGGTTTGGTTTGATTTGGTTTGGTTTGTGTTTAACTTAGATTCACTTTGAGAATTGGAATTTCTGGAAATCATTCCAGTGTTTGTACAAATAACAAATAGTAAACTGAATGACACACACACAATCGCAAGTGAATCGAAATAATTGTGACTTGTGTACACGTAAAATGAAAAAAAAAAATATTTCTTCAAGTACCAAAACAAATGAATCATTCAAAGTCTAGGAAAATAGATGTCTAAGCTCCTGGTTTTCATTATTTTTGTTGTGGATTTTCTGTTTTTGTTTGGTTCATTTTTTTTTAAACAGACAGAGCTGGCGAAATTTCGATTAGTATCGATGATTAAGGGGGGGAGGTTGGTTGTTTGTGCTTCTGTCCCTATAATTATACATTGTTTATATACAGTTTCGTCGGAAGCTGGCGTTGCTGTTGTTGTTCACATTGCAGGTATGCGTGCTGTTGTTATAGCTGTTGCTATTGTAGAATTTTCGTTCAGTTTTCTGTACACACAACACGTACATTAAAACAGAGATAGAGATTTAATGAAAAAAAAAAAAACAAATTAAAAATCTAAATGTCAGTTATTCCCATCAGTATTTGGCGGTCGTATTGAGTTCATATGAATTTCGGATGATGCGGTTGAGTGTATGTAGGGTGGTAAATGTCCACGATCGCTTATCTTACAATTAATATGTTGAAATGAACAGCAATTCTGTCAGTTGGATTTTTTGTTGGAATTGTGTGTGCGAATTTCATTCAATCCCAAAAGTCGTGTGTATATTTATGTGGGGGAGGGTTTTGTTTTTTTTTTTTGGTATTATTATTGTTCAATGCGAATTCCGTTCCAACCAAGAAATCATTCAAAGTAAGTAATTTTGTGTATTGTTAGTATGCCATTACAGTTTAGTTTTGATTTGCAAGCAGAATGGTATTGCGCATTTTGAGCAGAGTGTGTATGTGAGTTGTTAAGTTTTTTGTTTTTCATTCGTTGACATTGACATACAGAAACAGGGTGAGAAGAGAGAATAGAACCAGAAAGAAAGAAGAGAGAGAAACGATAGAACATTAAACATTGATAATAATTTTTTGTTTGGTTGTTTGTTTTTGAATTATTAAATGATTTTAGTTTTTCGTTCTGAAAACATGCACAAACATGAAAAATAAATATGAATGTGATGAATATCCAATTGCAATTATCAGAGGAGTGGCGATTTGTGTGGCAAGAGTGGGGGTGGATACAGAGAAAAACTGCTAATTGAACGGACGTCACAATCAACAAATCATAATAATCAAAGAATGTTTGATGGTGTTATTTACACAAGGGGTTTTCACACTTATACAGAAGATAGACAAATACACACAGCGATACAGAGGGATTGTTCTCTGGCTGAAAACAACGTTCGGAATCGATTCCGATTATAAGTTAAGTCTTTTTTCTTCCTCTATTCTTTTCCCATTTCAATCTCACTGTCTCTATTTTTTCACTTGTATTTTGTGTGCGAACGTTGTTGATTCGATTTATCAGCGAGACTATCTCTACATCTACATAAAATATATATACTTGTTTTGACTACAAAAAATATCTACAAGGGATATATAGAATACGTTCTTCATACTTAAATTAAAAATGCTTTCCAATTGGGTGTTTTTCGATATCATTTTTTTTTATCTCGATTTTTTTCGATCGCTCAAATTTTGATTAAATCAGAAATGTCGAATGTTATAGAATGTGCGATGTGCGTGTTCAATGGATCAAATTTAAATTGTCTTCTTATTTCGTTTCAATACGAAAATGAACGGGACGAACACAATTTTCTAATGGAATCTACATTGCTTATATTTTTTTTTTTGGTTTTCTTTTGAGTTGTAATGATAACGGATAATTCGAGAAAAAAAAACATAAGTTGTAAAAACTATTCGACTGTGGTGTACAATTCCAAATTCTAAATATGTAAATTAAGACAAGGTGTGGTTGCGCGGAATATGTGAATGGGGTTGGGGAGGAGACAGAATAGATATGTATGAGTTAAATTGTTAAACGTAAAAATGAAAATTGGAACATTTCAAAGTGTTAAAGAAAAAAAATTACTCGGATCATACCTTCAATGTCCGTTGGAAAGCATAGCGAAATTCTCGGTTGAAGTACGCATAAATAACGGGATTCAGCGCTGAATTGAAGGGAAAGGATGAATTAAGCTTATATTTTTGCACTGATTTTACTTCTTCCATGTATTTTTTTCATTGAATCGTCGCGCTAGATATTTACCAGAATTGAAGTAGCCGATCCAAAAGACAATTGTGACGATAACACGTGGTGTAGCGCATGCTTCGCCGCACATCGATGAAATGTTGTACCTTTGAATTTAAAATGCAAAAATCAATTTGCATGGCCCCAACCCCAAAAGAAAAGAAAAAGAAAAATCGTGAGTCAATAAAACGAACAAAGAAAATGTTTGGTTAGTTTGGCAATGTGCCAACATCAAAACATGTTGTTTGTGTTTGAAAGGAGATACGATTCCATTGAGTCGGCCGTTTCGTATGCTAATCTCATCCGTGCGCACGGGTTTTCAACCAACAAAAATCAGGATGCAATAATGAAACCGTCATTCAATTGTCAAATCAACCGATGTTTGAATCGCGAAATGTCGATTTGCATATTTCGAACCCATTTGAAGTTTTCAACATTCAAACAAATCCGGCCAACGATATGCATCTAGAATGGAAAAAAAAACACAGAAACTCGACTTTCTCTCTCTCTCTCTCTCTCTCCGTTCTAAAATCACACAAATTGTGTATGAACTTAGACGTCGTCATTGCATATACGAAACAGCCGAACAAAGAAATGCAAAATAGAATCAACACAGAAAACTGAAGAAAAAAATTGCACAGAAAAACGACGTTGGGCGCGAAAATTGAACGCGATCAAAAGATAAACGGAACAAAGTGAAATGCAATGAACGAATAAACAGACCAAAAATTTACCATAAAAAGAACGGCAACCAGCATGCTAAAAATGCACTCATTATTATTCCGAGCGTTCGGGCGGCTTTTTTCTCTCTTCGCATTTTCGTAATGGCGCATGGTTCAACTTGATGTATACTCTGCCGTTGCACAGCTATACCGTTGATTTGTAAATGCTTTTCCAGAAGCAATGCAGCCACTTTTGACCTAAATGTGTGTGTGAGTGTGTACAATTGTTTCATCATTATTATCATGGAAATTATTTTGTTTTTGTGTCTACAGTCAACACTCAATGTAACGTTGAAAAGAAAAAAATGAAAAGTGAATGAAAAAAAAAAATTCGCGCCAAAAACAGCAATATCAAATTAGTCTTGTTTGTCGACATAAAATATGATAAATTAATTTCAGTTCGTGATTCTTGAATATTTTCACTGGTTTTTCTCCTCAGAGCGAGGGGTTTAGATGGACTGAAACCTACACAATAAGGCACTATTTGAAATTCTCACACGAATTTATCATTTGAAATTCAAATTTTGAATTACGCATGTCGAATGTGCTGAAGTGTTCGCATTGTAAATGCAGAAAACTGCTGTGCTTTTGGCACGCGTCTTTCTCTTTCTCTGTATCCCACTCGTTTTCACCGAGATTTTTTTCTATACAAAACCGATATATGTGTAAAATAGTAACAACGCATCTGGTCTCTCGAAAATCTGCGCGCAAATACCATTCGCCGAATGGAATACATAACTAATTTCCTCGTGTTGTACTTTCACTAAAAACTCCGTAGCTTACTCGAAAACAAAATGGCCAGGGGTTCGTTGTTCATGTTCCGTGTGAAGAACATGATGCACATCTAGCAGCAAAACGAAAGCACTCTCCTGTTTTATCACTTTTACATTATATTTCTGTTGTGTATGTGTGTGTGTATTTTTTCGCAACTTCGTTTTTCCAAGCTGCAACGTGACACATTTTGTTTACAGCTGAAGACAAAACGAGCATGCTTAAAATAATAATATGTATGTCAATATGTGATTGCGAATGCGTTCGTGTACCAAAATTAAATTCAATACCAAGCCATCGATTGTCACTGGTTGAAGACGTGAAATAAAAATAAATAAATTCCATTGCTCTTTTTCCGTGCTCTCTTGTACTCGGAACGAAATGAGCGCGCAAAAATGCAACTCCGAAAAATCCGGGGCAAATAAGAACAAGAGGGTGAGCACACGTGTAAGAAAAAGTTTGAAGGTCACCAAAGAAAAAAACACGTAACACAAAATGTTCTACACAACACATCCTCTGCACTTTCAAATGGCGGTTTTCATTTGGTACAGCAACAGTAGCAGCAACAGCGCAAGAACGCCAGCGATAACAAATAAATCGAACGTATTCCGCTTTATCAGATGTTCAATTCAATGTCAAATCTTGTCTCTTGAAATTGCAGCATGCTTTAAGAAAAAGTGAATGAACCACAATAGAGAAAAAAAAAAAATTCAGCTCAAAATGAAATCAACACAAACACAAATACAAATCTGCCAAAGTATAAAACATCTGCACGAGAAAATGAAATTCGAATGTCTCGTCTTCATCCGGAATTTGTCGTCTTGCATCGCGATTTGAAGGTGAGAGATAAGGAGGGCACACTCGATTTTGGCAGCGATCAACATCATCTCGGTAATGGAATTGCAAATAAATTAGCTACACGAAAAGAATAGAATGAAATGCGCTCAATCGAATTGCTTGGTACAATTTGTATGCATGCAATCATTGCTGCATTTTCGCTTTGAAGCAAATTGTTAAGAGGATATGCACTTCAATTTTATCGGTAAGTCATCGGTGTTCTGTGCGCTTCTTCAATCATTCAAGGTGCAACACAAAGAAGACAACCAAATTCGTTCGATTTTGTTTGGCATCTACTGGTAAACAAAATGGTTTGGCTGAGAAACTTGAACCAATTAAACATTTGAACCGTTGCGACAAACAAACTCCCACAGAATATTTCAGTTTTAAAGTGCAACATGAAATTTTTTTCATATGGATTTGTTGTTATACATAAACTCTATATAAAAAAAAATTCATGTCAAACTGAAATGTTCTGAGGGAATTTGTTTCTCGCAACGGTTCATTTGTGTCGCTGAGCATAAAAATGGGAATACAGATCTGTTACAGCAACAACCGAACATAAAATATTGTTCACTAAAAACGTTACATGAATTTCTATCCAACGCGAGTGTAACATGAGCTAATACTGTTTCTAATGCAACTGATGTTACACTCGCGTTGGATAGAAATTCATGTAACGTTTTTTGGGAACAATATTTTATGTTCGGTTGTTGCTGTAACAGATCTGTATTCCCATTTTTATGCTCACTGACACATTTATACTTAAAAACAAAAACCCTAATAATAATAGACTAAGAGCCAGTGATAGTAGACTATCACCTCATAAAATTCCT